CTGCCACCACCACCCACCCACCCATCACCGCTTTCCACCACCGTCTTCCGCCACCACCCCCTACCACTTGCCACCACTGTCTTCCGCCACTACCACCCACCTACCCGCCACTTGCCACTACTTTCCACCACCGTCTTCTGCTACCATCACCCACCACCTGCCACTATTTTTCACCACTGTCTTCCGCCACCACCACCCGCCATCATTTTCCACCACCGTCTTCCGCCACCACCACTCGTCACCACCTACTACCTATCACCACTTGCCATTTCTCACTCTTTTTTTATATTTTTAAATTTTTTTAAACATTTTGTCTAAACCAAACGCATTTGTAGTTTATGTTTTTCTAAAAATAAACAAAAAATTAACAAAAACTAGTTTATAAAATTTTTGTAAATATAAACTGAAAGCGTAAACATTACCAAACAGGCCAAGATTCGATTTTTTTTTTCTTTTACACATCTTTTCGTAAAAAATTAAAAAATCATTTCAAACATATTAATTTTTTTTATCTAATATTTTAACTGAAAAATCAAAAAATTACCAAAATAGCTGTTCCAAACGAACCGTTAGAACTGTCCCAGAAGACCTGCTTTAGCACCTTTTCTTTCTTTGTCGTGCCCGTAACCACCTAGCTCATGCCCGCTTTGTCCCGATCTCTAAAAGATAGATCAGGGCGCAAAAATATCAGTTTTGATCCTTATCTCTTTTCTCTTTCTGTTGTTGCGATTTCTCTTGGGTTTCTTGGGCTTCAACCTTGATTTTAGAGCATTTAGACTTGGATTTGATCTCGAAGAAAACACCATTGTTGTAGAGTTTGGCGAGATCTTTGAGCTATTCTATGCCAAAAGTAGATTCGGCACTCATAGTTGTTTTTAGCTTCTCCTCTTTCTAGGGTCTCTTTTTATTGACAATATGAGTTCATTGGTGTATTTGTAGTATTTTCAATATAAAACTAGCATGTTGTTGTTGATTTTGGATGAGCCATGAGATTTGGGTTAGGGTTTGATGATTTGGGTGTATTTTCCTTAATTACTCCTTATCAAATCTATTTTGACTATAATAAATTGTATGAGAAAACCTTGTTTTGAAAAATCCCCAAATTATGAGGAGAACCCTAAAATTTGATATATTGAAATTGATGTAATTTTGTGGATAATTTTGGTATTAACTATGAATTGTAATGCTAGAATAAAATTGAGAGCTTTGGAATACAAATGGTGAGATTATGCATATTGTTGCTTGGAAATGGTCGTTGGATTTTATGTAGAAATAGTCTTTGGGTAGTTTGTTGAGAATAAACACCCAATGGAGGTGCATGGAACACATTTTACCTATATTGATTAGAAAAATACTTGGGAGCAGTAATTAGTGCTCCCACTAATTAGGTGGCAGTGGGTCTCGCCATTAATGATGTGATGTTTTGGTCTTGGAGTTTTATTTTTTTTTTTTTTTTACTTTTTTAATGCATTAGTGCTATTAGTGGTGATATTTTTAGTGGGATGAATCATTGTTGTATTGATTATTGTATAGTTGCATTTCTTTTGTCAAAATGATTTGGTTTTAACTGAACGCTTAGGGTGAATTCGGGTCGTGTATAGTGTTAGGGAAGGTATGTGATTTCTCACAAGTAAATTAATCAATGAGAATAAAAATTAATGTGAAAAAATTAAATCAAAAGCAACATAAGAATTTTTACGTGATTCTCTCAATTTGAGATACGTCCACGGGATCGAAATCCAATTCCACTATCAACCAAATAAGTTTTCAAACGATTACAAACGAGTTACGAATGGTCTCACAAAACCACCCTTACGTGAATTCCAAATAATCACAAATAAATAAGAGGAAAGACCTCACCAAATAAATGAACAAAAATCTTCAAATCCAGAGTTGAAGAAGTTTCAAAATAATATACCCAAATCAATACCGAACACCAAACACCGAAGCAGAGCAACAACCAAGGTATTGAATTTGACCAAGTCAAATTCACTACAATAATTCACACCAATTGAAACCCACCAACTTGAATTTATCCTTTTGCTGCTGCCGTTGAACACATAAACCAATATATATACCTCTATATATATATATAATGGGCTTTTCTATCAAAAAACCCTACTTGTAACCAAATTGAATTGGGTCTCTAAAAATTAGATATAATATATTAAAATATATTATACCTAAACCAAATCAAATTAAACTCTTTTAATAAACCAATTGGGTCCCACACTCCAATAAGGAGGTATACCCAACAATTCTCCCCCTATCGACTTAGGTGGAGATATCAACCATGCGCGCCAAAGTTCGACACTTTAAATGTTTGTCCCTCGACAAAGTCTTAGTCAACATATCCGAAATATTATCATCTGTGTGAACCTTTTCGAGTTGTAACAATTTTGAATCTAACACATCACGAATCCAATGGTATCTCACATCAATGTGTTTCGACCTTGAGATTCGAATGAAAAGTAGAATTTTTACTCAAGTGAATAGCACTTTGACTAAATCACAAATAAAGCACATACCTTCTTGTTCAAACCCAACTCTTATAACAAAAATTTTCTTCAACCATAGCTCTTCTTTGCCAAGCTTTTGTAATGGCAATAAAAATTCAGCTTCGGTATGCTTGAGAGAGCAAACACATTTTTGTATTTAGATTCATGCAACAACTCCCCTTTACAAAAGTCATCCAAATAGCCCGAAGTAGATTTCCTTGAATCAACATCACCCGGCCATGTCAGAATCTGTGAACCATCACGTATCGGCTTACCATCCGCCAAACACAACCACCTTCGAAGTCCATCGAAGAATACTTAGAATTCCATTTTACGCTGCCCCAAAATGGTTCTTAACCGGATTAAGGGAAAACCGACTCCCACACAAAACGGCGTGAGCAATATCCGGCTTTGTATCAAACCATGAGCGTACATCAAAGAATCAACATGTTGAAGCATAAAGGAATTTCAACAGTCTCTTCTTTGTCTTTCTCCTTGTAGGACATTGAATTCGACTAAGTTTTGAGGTGACCCGCAAGTGACACCAATCGGGTACTTTTACTTTATTGCATGTTGAACTCTCAAGAAACTTTCTCGAATATAATTTCCTGAAGAAACAAACCAAATCAGCCCCTCTTTTGCGATCAACGAACAATTTTTTATACCAAGGTATGTTGCTTTGGCCAGTCCCAAATCTTTCATTGCAAAAGAAAACTTGCTTAAGTTCCATTTTCACCTGTTTATCATTGTAGAATCTTGACCACAAATTAACATATTATCAACATAAGAAACAAAGAAATAATAAATTTTGCATCTCGGAAAAATTTTTCACTAAACACACAATGTCGAAGTGTTTTTACACAAAACTTCTAGAGAGATTGCCAGACCCATTTCAACAGGCCAGCTTCAGTCTCATCAATACCAATGTCAACG